CATGTAGATCATTGTCTTTGTGGACTGTGTTATGCCGACTGACCTTGATGTCTCCTGAGACTGTGGTCCTGAGCCCCCAGGCCCAGCGCCTCATCCCCTCAAGGTGTTTGGTTATGGCTAAGAAGTTTTGTGACTTTGCCCCATGTATGCTATACTATATTCATGGACATAATTTGCAGCACATGTAAATACTTATGTAGAAATATCTTCTGTCAAACCTATATGTATTCCTGGGTGCACTCTCATGTACCTTCCCACACCTGTCCAGCTTTCGCAAAATATATAAGTATATATATTACTTATATACGGGATTATGTAACAGTATTTACCTTTGTTGCCATGGACTCCTGTGCTCCTCCCAGTGTCTTCCTCTGCCTTGATCATTTTGTGCTAACCTCCTCCTTACTGTACATTGCCTTTCTCTTCACCCAAGTTAATGTGTCTGCCCCTCCCTCTTTTGAGGCAAGTGTGGACCACTGGGAGGGTGTAATTTTTCTCCCAGGTTTACAGATTGATACTTACAAATTGTTTTCCAGGTGGTCGAAAAAGGAAAAAGTCACCAGATGGGGAGAGAACTTCTGAGGAGAACTCCAATTTAACGCCATTGATCACATGACAGGGAAAAGACAGTATTCCCCTGGTGTATGAGACTCCAGAGCTGTGGAGGAGAACCCACCCTCCCATCACCTGCTTCACCCTGAGGCCTCCCACAGGTGACAGGGTGTTCACCTTCCTTTCCATCTCATCGCCTCTGCTGTCAGTTCGGCACATTTTCCCTCTTTGCCTCCATTTTGACTCAGAGCCTTCCTGCGGCCATAACGGAAGGAGGTACCTCCAGTGGGATAGGTTAGAAATGGTCGTGCCCATTGCACAGTCTGGGACTGGAGAAGAAATAAATCCAAGCTAGCAATGCCCCTCTGGGGCCCCTGATGCCCTTCTTTATTCTTCGGGGATCCCCTGATACCATAGGAGACCCGTGTCCTGAAATTCACCATTTCTTCCTCCAGAACAAAATGATAATTTTCTACCTTGTTTCATGCTTAGCTTAACTCAGAAGGTGCCGCTGGAAGACAGGCAGATGGAAGGAGGCTGGAGTAGCAGGTGTGAAGACTGGTTCAGGGACTGGACCAAGAATTCCTCCAGAACTTCAGAGCAGTGGGACTAGGCCATGGTGGTAGGACTGGTTTCCTGTTAGATAAGGACTCCAGCAGCTTGGGGAAGTGTGTCTCAGCTGGAATGGAAAGAATGTGAATCGGAGCCTCAAGTCATTGTTTTTTTCCCAGGGACGCATCTGTTTTGGCTCTTAGTCAGCAGCCATCGATCACTCAGTAAATCTGCTCTGGAAGAGGAGGAGCAGGGAGCAGAGAGACTCAATTGGGAGCCAAAGATGGAACTTCAGGTTTTAAGTGCAAATCAAAGCAAAAAAAAAAAAACGGGGGGTGGGGGAGAAATGAAACTTACATGAAAAGAATTCTAAGCAAGTTTAGCCATGACAAACCAGAGTGCCCAGGTCAGCCAAGGAGGATGCAAGCCAGCTCTCAAGGGACTGCGGTGTGCAGTACACAGGGATATTGAAAGTCAGTTTTTTTTTTCCATCCTTTCCGACCCCTTACCCTCACCCCTTACTCCACCAGAGCAGATCAGCTAAGTGTCCTTTATTCCAAGAATTTACCAAACCAAAAAAGCTAAACCCCTTGCTGACGTTGATTTTAACACATAGCAACCCTGTAGGACAGAATACTGCCCCTTAGGCTTTCCAAGGCTGTAATCTTTACAGAAGTAGATTGCCACATCTTTCTCCCGTGGAATGGCTAGTGGGTTTGAACTGCCTATGGTTAGCTTCAGAGAGCTTAACAACTGCACCACCAGGACTGCAAAGCATTTACTAGATTGCGTTTTTCCCACGTGGAAGTTGGGAATGGTGCGATTCCAAGCATAACCACCAGATGGCAGAATAACTGCGCATAACTACTTCTAAGACTACAAAGGAGCTCTGGTAGCATAGTGCCTAAAGCACTTGACCGCTAGCCAGAAGGCTGGCGGTTCAAACCCACCAGCCACTCCTCAGAAGGAAGATGGGGCAATCTACTTCCGTAGTGATACCGCCTCGGAAACCCAAGGAGGGGTCGCTATGAGTCAGGTCCGACTCGACGGCACACAACAACAACAACAAGACTACAAACAGGTCCGGCCGGGAAACTCAGAAGTATTGGGGAAAATCTGAAGTAAGAGAAGTTTGTTTGAAGGAGATAGTCATCTCTTTTTCTAAACTATCTCCCACCCCCGGGTGTCCTTGGTCAGGCATCCAGTGATCTGGTGCTGCCTGCTGAAACTCCAAACCATTCCCAAACTTCCCTGTGATGTACCATTCCCCTGCCCCCAAACCATTACTTCCACTTCCCCAGGGCCCTTCAATCAATAATTACTCGGGGATGGGGACTGATCATTCATTTGGGTTATTTGCATCTTAAAATGCTCACTAACTTATGGGAATGTTAACTCAGGGGTTCTTAACTTGGGGTCCATCACCCCAGGGGGTCCATAGGTAGATTTCAGAGGGTTGGTGACACCTCTGAAACTGTATTCAGAATTTAGTGTGTGTGTGCTTATGAGTGTTTCCCAGAGGGCTAACGCTTTCATAAGATTACCAAAGGTCTCAGACTAACAAAGGGTTAAAAACCACTTTTCGTTAGTGGGACGTTCAGCCCAGAGTTTCTGCAATGCAGAGTGAAGTGAATCCCTGGCAGTGGGTGACAGATTTTTAGTGATTAGTGGTCTTTTGGCGTGTCCATCAAATCGATGGGGAGGGCTGGTCACCACCAAGAGGTGGGAATCCTCCATGTCTTGACACCCTGGGACTGTACAGTGCCACAACCTACAGTCTGTGTAACTTGGTCCCCCTTTCCCACCCAGTCAGAGCAGGTGTTTCAGAAAGGAGGGTCGCAGCATTTAGAAGTAAAGATTTTCCGGCTGGGGATGATCTTTCTTCCACCAATGTATTACTCACGTTACCATGCCCCTTGCTCAGCCTGGCCTGAGGCCCAGCAATGCATGACTTCTTGTAGATAGGTCCACAGCCACCACTTCCCAACACCTGCTCTTGCCTAGAAGAGTCGGCACAGCATCGGCTCTTGGCATTGCACGCCTCAGGTGCAGTCTTCGTACTCAGCTGACCAGTGGCCTGAGGGGGCTTGCCTGGCTTCGTTCATTAGCCCTTAGGCCTCCAGGCTCAGGCCCTTGCTATTGCATTACACCCATCCCTTGGCAAAACCCCTAAGGAGAGCCTGTCACCACTCCCCTCCTTATCTTCCCCTCACCCCCAAGTTTTTCTTCAGGTTAATTTTTTAAAAGAAAGGATTTTAAAATAAAGCATTTATGAAAGCTCAATAAATTGTAAATAATTTTTAAATAAAGTTAAAATGCCTTTTCCTGGAATATGGCTGTTTTCCTTGCCGCTGGAATCTCTAGTTTTCATTTGTGATATGGGCTGGTGGGCGCAGATATGTGATTACCTCACCCGCGGCCCACCTCCCTGAAGAGGCACGCCTCTCGGGGCCAGGCGTGAGGCTGTGGTGAGGTTACAGGACACTGCTGGTGCTCCACTTTGGGGGGCCAGATGGGTAAGATTTTGCAGGAGTGAATGCCAGAAACGGACAGGAAAACCCCCACCAGAAGCCAGACTGAATGAAGACAAGGAACGAGCTCTGAGGTGACCTTAAGAAGGACTGGCATGTGTTGAATACCTTTTCCTCAGTGCTAAAATGTGCCAGACACTGTGCTAGGTGCTTTCCAAGTTCAAGGTCTTGGGGGCTGGACCCAGGCAGAGCCCCTGAGACAATGAGCTCCTCATACTGGCTTATTTTTGCAAGCCCTTGTGAAAGATGTCAAAGTGGCATGGCTCCTGGGGTTTCCAACCAAAATCTGAAAAAAAGGAGTAGAGGAGCAGAGGAGAGGGAACAGCCAGGCAGGTGGGAAGATGTTGGGACATTTAGTACCATCGTGTGTGGAAGGAAGGTTGGAATCTGACCCCTACTGCTTATGCTGATTCCTCGTATAGCCACAGGATGGCTATCCTTTCCCAAAAAAGAAGGAAGATTCTTCCTAGGGCTCTTCATAGAGGCTATTAATGTCACCAACAGTAACAATAAAAGATAGTAACAACCATTCTGCCAAGGGCTTCAAATTTTATTGTTTTAAATTGTTGCCTTTGTGCTAAGTAATCATTAGCTCTTATTTCTCAGAACCACCCTGGGAAGGCACTACTCTAGGCCCTGCTTTAGACTGTGCAACAGGCTCTAAGAGGTCAGGTGACTTGCTCATTATGGAGCCTGCAAGCGGCACAGCTTCGAGGTCTGAGTGCCCGCCCATAAGCAGGCCATATGAGGGAAACAATCCTATTTTCACATTTACATGCACGGAAAACTAGAACACACTTCAAGAAACACTCACCAAAACAGATGATAGAATTGCCCTTTGCCATCGAGTTAAGTCCCACTCACGGCGACCCTATGGGACAAAGTAAAACTGCCCCAAGAGTTTCCAAGCATCTTCATGGAAGCAGACCGCCTCATCTTCCTCCCAGAGTGGCTGGTGGGTTCAAACCAACAACCTCTGTTAGCAGCCAAGCGCTTAAATTGTGCCACCATTTCTTCCTTGAAGAATAGAAATAAACCAAAAAACCAAACTCACTGCTGTGGAGTCAATCCCAACTCACAGCGACCTCTCCTTGGGTTTCCGAGGCGGTATCTCTATGGAAGTAGATTGCCCAGTCTTCCTTCTGAGGAGTGGCTGGTGTATTTGAACCACCAGGCTTCTGGTATTAACAGTCAAATGCCTTAGGCACTATGCCACCAGAGCTCCCAATTCCCATTGAGATTGGAGATTATTTTTAAATGCTAGAAGCATTTTAGGACTCTGGTAAGGGAACTTTAGTTTAAAAGTGTTTCTCTTTTTTTCACTAACACCACCCCAAGAAGAAAAATTAAATGTTAACAAGAGAAATTAAATATCAAGGAATAGATTTTGTCAAGCAGGGGTGAGCTTTAGAGGGTCACAGACCACTTTATTGTCCAGGACAATTTTGCTCCCTAAGAACCAGTTGTTGCCCCATTGGGGCATCCCCGTTAGGACTACATGGTTTAAAGTTGTAAATGGGGAGAATGAGAGAAGACTGACCATGTAGCATTATTCAATTCCTATCTTGCTCTTGTCTTCCCTTCATGAAGATAAGCACCTTTAAACTGGAGGGAAAATTAATGTTGATAAAAAGGAGCCGAGAATGGGAGGCAATGAGTACTAGATCATTTAATCAATCAATCCTTCAAATCAACTAGATTTGGCCACACTTGCAGGACACGTGCTCTCTGTAGGATTGCTGGGGACCTGGCTGGGGTGGTGAAGGGTCTGAAACAGTATCTAGTGTGGAAACATCGAAGAATGGGGGCTGGGACTGAAAAAAAATCACCCATTGCTATCAAGTTGATTCCCACAGAACACAACGGCCCCACAGGGTTTCCAAGGCTGCAAATCTACACAAGCAGACTGCCTCATCTTTCTCCTGTGGAGCAACTAGTGGGCTCAAACCACTGGCCTTTTGGTTACCAGCCAAATGCTTTAACCATCATACCATACCATCCTGAACATGCCCAATCTCATCTGACCTGGGAACCTAAGCAGGGTCAGGCCTGGTTAATACGTAGATGGGAGACCCGCCTGGAAATACCCGGTGCTGTAGGCAGGAACTAGTCACATGTAAAAGCAAAAACAAATAACGATTGCCATCAATTAAAAGTGCCAATAAACTTAACTGTGGTTTATAGGAGAATAGGGAATGGGACAAATGGGGATCAAATTCTGGTTCAAGGTCAAAGACCTTTCTAATTTAGCAACTCCATCATTAGAATGGGATGCCCTCACCAAGTACTGAATCTGTTACCACCATCACTACCCATCTGACAGTGACAGATTAGGGATGATGGGGAAGAGACTCTTTCACTGTAGGAGAGAAGCTGAAGTCCTGACTTCTAAGACCCCAATCATTCCCCAGGACTGTAGGCTCTTAGGACTACTCAAGGCATCACAGATCCTGTTAAAATCATTACATTGGTCTGTAAATATCCTAAAACTCCAAGCAGCAGCCCTCTTGTTTTAAGTAAGATTCAACCCCACCCACCACATTCTACAACTGACAACTGGAGAGTTCTTTGGACTCTGGAGAATGTCCTCTATATTTAAGTGCTATAATTGCTTCAGAAGAGTAGGCATACCCTGGCTGGTGTTCTAGAATCACTCTTGTGTGATGTCAGTCCTCCTGTGAGTCTATGCAGTAAACTAAGAAGGAAGCTTACTGCAGCTTACTGGCCTCTGAGCAACAAGCCCACAAAACTGCTGTGCAGTTATAGAACCGTGATTTCACTAAAGAGAGGTGTATTGTAAGAGTACATTTCTGTGTCTCCTTGACCACAAGCAAATCCCTCTAAAGCATTCATTTTAAGCTCTGGGTCACTATCCCTCAGTGAATCACAAATCAATTCCATGGGTCTCGATCAGCACTTTTATTTTGTTTATTTTTAGTGAAACAGAACAGAAGAGACTAGAGTATTTTTTAGAGCGTATCAGGAGGAACACACATAGCAAACACTATTTTGTGAAGCCTCTGTTTCCGTTAAATATGTGTGTGTATCATGATTCCAATGTATCTGTTGCTGCAGTCACCCTACAGAACTAAAGCTGAGGTCTAGGGACACAACCAGGCAGAAGAAGCAGGGAGAAAGAGGATCTGGTCAAGATGGTAACGTTTAATGTTGCAGCCAACACCCATAATCACACTTGGCTACTTTAAACAACTTGCTAGGCTTTGTACAGAGTCAACAACATGGGGAAGAAACACAGGCAACACTCCTGCTTCCAGGGAGAGGGGCAAGACAGCTACGGCTCATAATCAAAATACTTATTCTTCTTTAAATAAAAACTTGAATTTGCTCTGGCCTCCAAAAGGGCTCTAATCCCAGGCCCACATTTCTTTCCAAGGGAGGCTCTCTTTCAGTAGGGCGGGTTTTCCATGGAGGTGGTCTTGTCAGAGCAGGCACGCCGTCCCTCGGCAGCTGTGCCAGTCCCTCAGCAGTTTCTAATACACGGTATGTACAACTAGGTTTGTGCAGGCAGGGAACACGTGACGAGGACCGCTTTGGTGGTGCTGGTTTGGGTGGTGCTCCTTCACTGGATTTTGGTGACAGCTTCATGGATAGAGGTGGCCACATACTCTAGGTTTTTGGTGGTGAGGCCACACATGTTGATCCGACCACTTGGCAGCAGATAGATATGTTTTTCGTTGACCAGATACTCAACCTGCTTAGCTGTTGAAAACCAAAAGAAGACATCATCAGGGTAGTAGGAAAACTTCAAGCAGGGGCAATTCAGTGACTACATGATAACTCCAATTTTCCTTCTTTACCCCCAAAATAGAGCAGCAAAACAAACAGGAGCCCTTCCGTTCAACTGACATAGAGGGAAATAAGCTCCTAGAATTCTGGAAGGCTCTCTTCCTAGTTACCTTGGTAACCCCTGGGAAGTTCGACATGGCTCTAGGAGTCAATGCCTCCTCCTGATGGGAATTTTAATCTGGGGCTACTTCCCGACCAAATCTCACACTTCACATTCACCAGGAGACCCCTGTCGACTAAAAACAGCCATCAGATTTACGAACATCCCACTGATTTAAAAAACTCGTTTATGAAATGCTTCCTTTGTCTCTTCCTAACCTGTGTTTGCTTTCACTCCACCTTCCAGAAACCCACTGCAACTGCCCAGGTCAAAAGCTCTGCCCGGTGGCAGGGACAACAACAACAAAAGCATGTGACAGGGAAGGCGTCCTTCCCCTTCCCCTCCACAGAGCTCAATCCGTGCCACCCCCCCAACACACACACACACACACACACACACACACACACTTCCTATTTTCCCACTTCTAATAACTCAGGTAATGCTCCCTGGAAAGTGTACTTTCCTTCCTCGCATGTACTTCTGACTCGGACTGTCACCTCCACCACTTTGCCCGCTTTGCTCCATTTGTAATTAAAAACAAAAAACAAACATCTTGGCTTGAGACATCTAAGAATAAGGCTAATGATGTTTCTGTAGATTTATTTTTTAAAAAAGGGAAGTCCTAAATGCTGAAGTGAAATCTCTAATCTCAACGAGTCCTTTCAGCATCCACCTAAACTGGCCTCTAACCTGCATTATCCTTAAAGGTAGGTGCGTTTTTTAAATTATTAAATCTCACTGTGTTTCCTAGCTGTCTCATTACTGTAATTATAGCTTGGTTTCCTACTTTTCTCTGACAGCGTACAGAGTTCAGCTGCATTATGAGACAAAGAAATGTGGCAGCAGAGCCCAGGCACACAGGCTTGTTTCTAACGGTGAGTCTATGCCAACGTGTTTCTGTCTTCAAACAACTGATTCAGAGAAGAGTTTTGGGATGGTACTCCAATATAGAAGGAGAACGGCTTCTGCCCTGCTTGGCCTAGTGCACAGGAGGCAGACACAACACCCCTACGCACTTGGACTCTGCTGAGCACCTAGCAGCAACCCCACTTTGGATTCTCATCTTCACAGCACACTGTGCAGTGCCGATGCCTGAGGCGCACTTCACAAATGCTGTGAATGAACCAACGAACTGAAAAACGACAATGACTTCTCTAGCCTGGACCATCACTCTTTCATTCATTTCTCAGCTCTCTCCCAAACAGATGCAGGAGGGCTTTCCCACAAGTTTGCAGGAATGCATCACGTGCGAAAGGAAGGGAGTGCCCAAACCTCCTTTACGCCACCATCTCTAGTACCTTCTTGCTGGACTGCAAATCCATAAGATACTAGCTGGCTTTCCTAATTTACTATTAGCTGCTGAGTCAGCCCTGATTCATGGTGATCCAAAGCACAAGAGAACGGAACGCCGCCCGGTCCTAAGCCACCCTGTGATTGCCTGAGGATCACACTATCGTGCTCCATAGCACTTTCTTTTATTTTAACTTGTTGTTACTGTTGTTGAGACTGTACTTGGCTAAACATACACCGATTCAACGTTTCTATATCTACAGTGACATTGATGAAACTGTTGTTGCTGGGTGCCGTCAAGTCCGTTTCTGACCCTTACGACCCCACGTGACAGGGCAGGACTGCCCCACAGGGTTTGCTAGGCTGTGATCTCTGTGGGAACAGATCAACAGGTCTTTCTCGCACAGAGCCATTGGGGAGTTCATACCACCCACCTTTCCAGCAGCAACCGAGCACGGAGTCGGCAGGGCTCCCTCACAGGGATTTCACTGCTGGTTTTTGGGAGTAGATCCCAGGTCATTCTTCCCCGTCCATCTCTCAGCCTGGAAGCCCTGCTGAACCTGCTCAGCGTCCCAGCAACAACTACTCCTCCAGTGACAGCCATGGGGGCTGGCGTGAGGTACACAGGCTGAGAGTCCACCCCAGGTCTCCCGCACGCAAGACAAGATCTCTGCCACTGAGCCACACTGCCCCCCATCTACTTATTTAGGTGCTAATACTCAGCAGCCTTAAGACATCATCAATTTGAGGGAACAGAACAATGATAAAAGCATGATAATCAGAGGAGCAAACACTACATCCAGGCATTGTCTTAAGTACTTTGTATTAACTCAGTTAATCCTGATAATGACCTTGCTGTTGTTGTTGTTAGTTGCTAAACAGTCAGTTCCAACTCACTGCGACAATATGTACAACAGAAAGAAACCCTGCCTGGTCCTGTGCCAGCCTCACAATCCTTGCTATGCCTGAGCCCACTGCTGCAGCCACTGCCAACCCATCTCATTGAGGGTCTTCCCCTTTTTTCCCAACCCTCCACTTCACCAAGCATGATACCCTTCTCCAGGGAACGGTAAGGCTATTCATAAAGTTTTCCAGTAATATATCAGACAGTGTTTCACTGCTATTCACAAGATTTTCACTGGCCAATTTTTTGAAAACTGAATGGACCCTTCCTTCCTGTGAGTCTGTCTTAGTCTGGCAGCTCCACTAAAACCTGTCTACCATGGGTGACCCTGCTGGCATCTGAAATACCGGAGGCATAGCCTCCAGCCTCACAGCAACATGTAAGCCACCACAGGGCGACAAACCGATAAACAAGCAGTGGGATAATAACCTTATCATCTCCGTGTCACAACTGAGGCACAGAGAAGTTAAATAACTTGCCTCAGGGCACACAGTCATGGATCTGGGATGATAATGCAGGCAATGTCGCTCCAAGTCTGGGTTGTTAACCACAGTGCTATGCTGCCTCTCTGTGTGAGTGGGAAGCTTGCACCCTCCACTCAGTGCCACCTGCGTGTCCCCTCCAAACAAAGCCCAGCAGGCTGCCGAAGTCGCCTGAGCCATCGTCAGCTGCATAAGTCACAGTCGTCCAGCGCAGCGCAGCCTAACCTCACACACCAACAGAGCCACAGGCACCCCACTCATTGTAACAGCCTGTCCCCAGAAGGCAGCTATTCCCTGCCCCCACCCTGCTTTTCAATAAAAATGAAACTTCTCTGTTTGGTAGGGAGAGAAGTCTCACAGTTTGGGAAGTTAGTAAAAGTTATAGACTCTTTCCCTAGAAAAAGGCCAACACACACATATACAATATCTTAATATAATTTCAAGGGCTTCACAGCTCTTCTCAAGTGCCTCCATGGGCTTCATGTTAAAAGTCCCTGTTCTGATAGATTTAATGTAATAAAGGAAGAATTATAAAAATGATAACCATAGAAACTAGATGGAAGGGATATGGGTGTTTAATGCACAATTCCTCCAGCCCTTCTAAACTTTTCATAATAAAACATTGTGTGTGGGGGGATCTCTTTTTTTACAGAGTAAATGATATCAAGTGCTAAAAATAACTTTTGTGCTGTAAGTACAGGTCTACACTCATCATTTTCCCATTCATACTAAAGCTAGTTTCCCCTCTGGATAGGGGGAGGGGAGGGATCTTATGGGGGGACATCCCCACTTTGTGAGCTTTTAGAACATTACTACTGAAGACCATTTCCATTATACACAGTGTTCTTACAGTTTTACAGGGATGACTCCATTTAGTCAAGTGAACTAAGCCCCCGTCCACAGGCCTGAGGGCACCGACAGCTAAGATACCACTTTACTGTCTTGGCTAGATTTAACTTAACTAGTTACTGTCAAGTTGACTCCAACTCATGGTGACCTTAAGCGTGTCAGAGTAGAAATGGACTCTACAGGGTTTTCAATGGACGACTTTCTTGGAAGTAGATCATCAGACATTTCTTCCAAGAAAACTCCGGGAAGAATTCCAACCTTTTGGCTAGCAGTCAAGTGCATTAACCATTTGTATCACTCAGGGATTCCCAGCCTTATTTTATCCCCAAAGTATTTCAAAGGGACTATAATAAAACCTCTACTACTTTTCTTGTTTGCATTATTTCCTTTGGCTTTTTCTCAGCCCATTTCAAACCAACAGTCTGATTGCCCTCATCATAGTACCTCCAAGGACCCCCGATGTTCTACCTACTCAACCAACCAACCACTCATCCTTCCCTAGAGCCACTGTGACCACACGCAGCTTACTGGTCACGTCCCACCATGTGACCAGTGGCTTGGTGAGTAGGTGCTCGGGAGCTAGTTATAAATGAATGAATCCTCCTTCATCAGAAGGGCCCACTCATAGCTAATACGTCTTACTCATGGCCGGCCAAAATCATGCCTGGCTCCCCATGAGATTCTCAAGTAGATTTTAATTCTAACTACCAATCTAAATTCTTATTTATGAAATGCTGAGATAACTTTGTAACTTCTCTTGAAGGGCACTATCTTGAGACTAAGGAAAGACCTGTTAAGAAATAAGATCCCTGCCTGATCATATACAGTATTTACACTTAGGATTAAGGTAAAGCCAAAAGGTACCTGAGCACTTATGAGAGAATGATATTAAATCAAGGCTTTTTCAAATTCTCAGGGAATCCCGTTTCTGGAGTCACTGAGGCTGATGATCATCCTCCCTCCCCAAAAACGACTGCCCTTAAACCTTAAACTGAAAATCTCCCCTGAAAGCATTGTTAAATCAAACAGCAATTTAGCTCAGTAAGTAAAGAACGGCTGCCTTGAGCACTGTGCTCTTTTAAAGAACTATCCATATGTGATCAAATTGACAGTAGCAACTCGAGAGGCTTGGTGAGCAGTGTAGGAGGCAGTGAGTTTATCTTAATGGTGGTGGGATAATTTGGAAAAGGAGAATGAGAATGGTTGCACAACTTGAAGAACGTAATCAGTGTAGCTGAATTGTACATGTAGAAATTGTTGAACTGATGTATGTTTTGCTGTGTATATTTTTACTGCAAAATAAATATATACGACGTACGTATAAAGACTCCAAGCTCTGAATTGTCTTACTTCCCAGCTGGCTCTGAACCACTTCCCAGCCCACAGAAATGAAACTATGTTGGGTATGGGTCAGCAGGACAGATCACAACAATGCTATTCTGAGACCTGAGAGGTTCAGAAGATTGAGGGACACAGTGACATAATCTAACTTGTTCTGCTCCAAAGTCGTGGATAATCGATTAGGTAACAGCCAATGGAGGTGCTCTCAAGAACACTGACCATGAAGAGAGCCGGCTGTCTACCTGCGCGCGCTCAAAGTGATGGGGCCGCTTACGGTTTAAGCCAGTGAAACTGAACATCCCAATTTGCTCCGTGATGTGATTCCAGGTACCAGGAGTCTTGAGGGCTTCTAATCGTGCTCTGAGTTCAGATCTCATTGTCAGAATCCGGTCAGCCATTGTTTTCACATTACCTGTCCTAAAGAGTGAACAGTGATATAAGCACAGGTCCAAACAGGAGAGACTGTACACTAAAACATATAGATTTAAAATTTGTCATTGAATCTATAAACCAGAAATGGGACCTGCCTCTTATGCTACATGGATGCATGAATGGAATGAGTGGATGAGCAAACTAGAGTAACAGATGAACCTGCCCAATCTAGTCCCTCTCTGATCCATTCTCCAAGTAGCAGGAAAGAACTGTATTGCTGATGGGGTCTAGTATTGTCTTGAGTACACTGGCTATAATACCACCAATGTTTTAACTCAGGGTACATGAGGTACTGATAGAGACAGGGTAATATATTTTTTTTATCAGGCCTGATTTAATAGAGATTGGAGATCTAAGTATCAGGCAAAACTCCACTGGTTTAAAATAAGATAAAAGATATGTCAATTAGAGACAGGAATGAGACACTCAAAAATTATATTAACTTGAAGTTGGATATTCTATTCCATCAATAATCCCTTCCTGTGTTTTCCAGCTTCAAGGAGAGATAAAGAGGGTAGTGGGGAGAGTGGAGAAACCAGCATTCACTGAGTGCCTCCTCCTTCGTTCCAGGTGTTGTGTGAGCCACAGGTGAAATAGGTACCATCCCTATTTGACAAATACCTGAGAGTCAAAGAGGATGAAGTCATTTTGTCCTGCCTCTGCCAAACAGAAGGGAAATACTCCCATTTAATTTAATGGGACAACTGCTGTTTTGCACACCCACCCCTTGCTCGTCAGGCTGCGAGCCCTTACCATTCCTTAAAGAGCTCGGGGTTGGAAAGGGTACATGCCACAATTCGTGCTCCCTGAGCAGGAGGATTGGACCAAGTGATCCGCACGATCTTCTCCATCTGGGAAAGGACCCGCAGGACGCTGTCATTTTCTTTTCCCACCACTGTCAGATTCCCCACACGCTCATCTAAAGAGAGGGACGGGAATCAGCCTTGGCTGCAGTGACCGAGGGGACAGTGCAGGGGCGGGCGGGGCCGTGACTCAGGAGCCCACTCACTGTACAGCCCGAAGTTCTTGGAGAAGGACTGTGCGCAGAAGAGCTCAAAGCCTTCAGACACAAAATAGCGAACGGCCCAGGCGTCTCTCTCTAGGTCTCCAGATGCGAAGCCCTGATAGGCTGAGTCAAAGAAGGGGAACAGAAACCGGCGCTGCCAGAAAGGAAAGCGAGTCAGGGCAGGAAATCTTGGGGAACCAACCTCAGATACCAGCCTTCCTTCCCCAACTGGTGCCTGGAAAGAATTTCTAACACTGTCCAGTTCTCCAATTTCTCTTCTTTCTGCCCCCAACCACCTCAGAAAGTTCAGTAAACCATGTTTCTTTTTAAAGTATACTGTCCTAGAGGGTCACATACAGCTTTGCCAACCATGCTTATTTTTGAGGTGCAGAGGTAATGTCCTATGTGGGTGGATTCTTCCTCATGAATTCCTGGTGTGGAAAGCTTAGTCAAGGACAGGCTTGGTATCCCCAGGGCCTCTTCACAATCTCAGGGCTACTGTACTCAGTACTGAAAACAAAATACAGCAGCCTCTATTTTTATCACCCCTCTCTCCCCAAAGAGCTCTCCACTTTGAGTCTATTCTGAGTGACATCACTTCCCTGCCCCTGACCATCCAACCCAGAAACCAGGATATATTCTTGACTCTTACCTGTAGAACTCACCCCCCAAATAAGTCAAACCCAAGTCCTAGCAGTCCTATCCCCTGAAAGTTCTAGAATCCATTCACGTTTCTCTTTTCCCACTGTTACCTACTTCAGGCCACCATCAGCTCCTGCCTGGACTATTGCAATAGCCTCCTGACTGGTCTACCCGCCTGTCTAATCTCGCCCCCTCTGATTCATTCTGTACCAAGTAGAGAGACCGTAAGACAATGTACGCTCAACCAAGTCACTCCCTGACTTCAAAGACTTCAGGGGATCCTCAGAATAAAGTCCATCTCCTCAGCACGGATCCAGCCCCTAGCCTCATCACTCATAATCCCCCCAACTCCCTTTGAACTCTATACCATAACAAGAATTACTTTCACTGCCCTAAATGGGCCCTGATCTCTCGGCTTTGGGCTTTTGACTATACTCTCCCTTTTGTAGGAAACAGTCCTTTCCTGACAATACCTCTGACCTCCACCCCGTCTGTCAATACCTTCTTAACTCTTCTTCATCCTTCAAGTCCCAACATGGAAAACACTTCTTCCAGAAAGGCTTCTTCTGTCACCACCACTCATAAACACACACACGCACACCCACACACACACCCACACACTCCTCCAAAGTCTGGACTACATACCCTCATGGTAACCCCATTAGTACAGCTCTCTCACAGTACCGTAACTGCCTTAGTATCTGTCTGTCTCCCCAGACAGGCTGCATGCTCTTAGAGCCTAGCAACCACATCTGCTTTGGTCACTGTTGTGGCCCCATGGTACCTAGCACATAACCTGTCTCTGTTGCCATTCCTCAGCAAAAATTCTTTCAACACATTAATGAAGAATATACACACTCTGAGCTAGAAATTCCATTCTAAAGCGTAATCCCCAAGGAACAGCAAAAAGAAGTTTTATTATAACATAGTTCTTCATAAGAGCAAAAACCCTAAATGTCCATCTGTTGATTTAACCAGTCCCTAATATGAGCTATCCATGCACAGAATATAATACATCTGTGAAAAAATGATGCTGCAAAACATTTAATGACATGTAAGGGAGTTCAAGTCAAAAAATAAAGTACGTTATAAAACAGTATACACAAAATGGTCCCATCTTTGTATTACATATATATATATATCATACAACATATATATCATATATACATATATAGAATATATGTACATACACATATACATATACACACACATGCACATATATATACACCTATACACACACACACACACACACACAAAAAGGCTGACCTCCTATATACCAAAACTAACAGTGGCTTTCTTTGAGTTATAGGACTTAAGAGTTAACAGGGTTTTCTTCTTTGGGCTTTTTCCCATTTTCCAAATTCTTCAATCAACAGGTACTGCTTTTGAATACATGAAATACGAATACATACCATTTTTTAAAAGATGCTCTGAAAGGGTGGGTAGTTACCTTCATGACGGAGGCGATGTGCTTCCACTGCTCCTGAGTCGGGTCGGTCCCGGTCGGGTTGTGCGCACAGGCATGGAGGACAAAGATGGAGAACTCAGGAGCACCCTGAGGAGAGGGAAGCAGCGTCAGCAGCTCTGACGGCAGCAGGGAGGTCGGGAGACCGACGCAGCAGCACACCGGTCAGCCAGGAGGGCACACAGGCAGCCGCATCCCTGCTCCATGCTACTTCAGAAACCACCATCTAACCGGGAGGGAAGGTCCCAGACTCCGACTTAACTCATCCAAAGACCTTCCCCTGGTGCTTCTGATGTCATAGGATCCTTTTGTCTTCTCCTTCACCCACCTCCATATCTTTCAGGAGACCCTGCAGGTCAAGTCCTCTCTTCTCTGCATCCCAGTAGTGATAGGATCGAATGTCTTTAAATCCAGCAGCAGAAAATACACCATTATGATTCTCTGTAAGCAAAGGGATAAAACGTTAAAAGCATTTACTAACACAAGGGGCATACTGGAAAGGATGAAACTCAAGCTTATAGGGCCCTCACAGTCTCAGTTTCTACTGGGCAACATCAAGGCTACGGGTTAAGATTTAGAAGGATGACTGTAACCAAGAACAAGTTCAACCAGTCTTATTCATGCCAAACGTATATCCTACTATAGTCAGCCACACCGTATGCCGCCTCTGGGGAGTTTCCACATAAACTGTAATACAAATCCGCCAACAGTCCTGGGAAAAAAACATTCTGAGTCTGAATTTGAGCACCAAGTTTCTCATGTACCACCAGAATCCACAGCCAAGCCATTACCAAAAGTCAGCTATTTCAGACTTTGCTGCATTTTCTGTGAAAGCAAGAGTCATGAGCATAATTCTCCCTGCCTTTTTTTTTTTTTTTTTCTCCTCTTGCCACAGCTAAAAGACTCACCCCAGGTCGGTGAGGAGACATAGACAGGTGTGTCCTTGTTGTTTGTTCCATTGTACCATCGAGCTAAGAACTCAGCTCCAATTCGAAGTGCACCTGTTCCCCCCAAAGACTGCACAGCTCCCACCTGAAAGAGAAGAAGCAGGGCCACTGGTTGATAATGCCAAGGTCAGACAACATTAGGAAAAACAAGGCAATGTTAACAAGCACTTACTTTGTGCCTGTTTCTGTGCTAAGCCCTTTAAATAATTTACCCTCATCAAAAACTCACAACTACACAAAAATGGTACTATTATTTGCCCATGACTATAAAGAGGAAACAAGGCAAAGAGAGCTGAGCAGCTTGCCCAAAGTTCCTAGCTACTGAGTGGCAAGGCCAGGTCTGCAACCCCGAAGTCCGACTCCAGGCGGAATGTCCCTGCTGAACACAGAGGTCGAGGACACAGCCAGGCCACATCAGTGTGCGCTCTTGAAGGCAAACGGCTCTTTAGCACCCATCGTGACATCAAAATTTCCCACCAGCAGAAGCCTGTAAGACAGTGTTACCAGCCTGTCATCAAAATCAATTTGTGCTACTTCTTATCTTTTGAACTCAGGCTTATGGATCCTTAGAAATATGTTCTGACAATGACTTTTCTATCCTCGTAAAACAATCTTGTCTGGGCAATAATAAATGTCCTATTGTTTACCAGGTACCAAGTGCTTTCTCATGCATTCTTCTCTGTTGCTCAAACAAACCTGCTCCCGGTAGAGCAAGTTCCAGATCCCCAAGTGACACATAAGAAAACTGATGCAGAGAAGTGATTTGCGAAGGGATACCCAGCTGGCTGGTGGCGGAGCTGGGCACAGCTCCAGGGCTGCTCTCGACCCAGTCACTGCGCCTGCCTGACCTTGTGCTGGCTACTTGGTTCTGACTTTGCCATTTGAAAATTCTAATTAGGTTTCAGCATAACTTTTTCAGCAGAGAAACACCAGAAATTACATGCTGCCTAAATATGTCTAAAGGATTAAGAAAAAAGAAAGACAAAGGTCACATTATAAAGCCTATCAAAATAAAAGGAAGGAAGGGCCCCAGGGATTGCCACTATTATCAGATTGGTGAGGGCTCCCCTTTGGCCAAATCAACAGGTTCCTTTTTTAAAAATGAGAAAATATTCATGTATTATCTGTAAAATTTTAAAGTAGCTTAAAAAAAATTAGATATCAGGATTTGCTATAAAATAGTGCAGGTTTTGGGAGATGTCGGGGTGGACACAAGATTGACAATGTATATACATAATTGTTGAAGGTGGTAGGTAATGGATACATATGGGGTTCATTCATTTTTCTGTTTTCTCTATTTCAAACATATTTGAAATTTTCCAAAATAAAAAGGTAAAAAATCTTTCCAGACAAAGAAGAAAAGCTTCTTAAATCTCTTTTTTAAACTAACATAGCATTGATGCTAAAAGATGATGAAGAAAACAAACAAAAATTTCTAAGTTCCCAAATAAACATTAATGAACAGCATGACTCCAACAGTACATTTAAAGATACTCCTTGATCACATGAGGTTCATCCTATGAACGCATGAGTAACTGATTATTAAGAAATACGTAAGTTGTCATGCTGTTAGAAGGCGAAAACACAAATGATCACCCTAACAGATGATAAAAACTTTGCCATTTCTGATATAAATGGTCAGTAAAAGAGGAAATGATAGGTCCTTTCTGACAAGAACAACAAAACCATTCATTCAACCCATAAGTCAGCTTCATGATGAACAATGAATCATGAACAGAAATCCCACTTCAACCAGGAAAAAGACAAGGAGACCCATGATCGCTGCTGTTATTCACTGTTGTTCTATTTGTGTCTGAAGATCTGATGATTTGTGAAAGAACAGTATCTGAAATGTGAAATGTGAGTAAAACAGACGTTTAAAGAGAGAAAGGACCGAACACAGCTGCACATGGTTCAGAGAAGCAGAGGAGTCGTTGGAAAGGGTCAGCGTCTGGCAGATGGGATGCTCCGACCTCTCTGTTCTTCACAGGAACCCACAATGTAAGCAATGATCTCTTCCCATTGGTTTGAAGGTTTTTGCTCCACAATGTGACCTACCTGGATTCCTTATACAAAATGCTACTGACAGGATTTAACCCAAACATGCCTTTATTTTTTTACAGATTTGTCATCCAGCTAAGTTGAATGTCGACATCACAGATAATTTCACATTTCAGATACCTAAGCAATTCTGGAATGTGAATACCACCAGCACCAATGAGCCAGGTTTCCTTTGAACATGGTTTTAAGCTATCATGGAAACATGACAGGTGCATATAGATATCCACAAAAACATTCCCACACATAATTTTTCCTATGTTCAACTATTGATTCTACTCTTTTCTCTCCCACTCGGGAAAACAAATTCATTAATTTAAAAAAATATATATCAGAAGGGCAGTCAACTAAACTGAAAGTGTTTGGAAAAGATAAACCCAACTCGTGTAAAATAATCCTTGGCATTCATGACATATGAGACTTTGAAATTTCAAATTCCCAAGACATTATCATTCTCTAAAAATACACTGAACACCAGCTGGCTCCAGTGAAACAGAAACTGCTCTAAACCATATAAGCAATTAACAAGAGTGAGTCTTTGGTGAATCAATAATGTAGCATTTTGGTCATTCTGTGTATTGGTTTTTGGCAAATGGATCTAGAGTCCAAGAAAGTCCTGAATTTGGTGTAGAAGTAAATCATAATATCAAAAGAAGTAAGTACAGGCTTCTCAAGGAGCCAGGCAGCCAGATCTGAGTGGCTAAACGGGTGTCCAGAGCAAAGGAAATCCAGTAAGGAAGGCTTGGTGTGAAGCTAGACAAAGCAGGCCTCTGTACCTACTACATACACCACTGTTACCTGCACTACCAACTTCGCCACACTACCTTGAAGGAACTCCTGCTAGACTCTAGAAGGCTGGTCAGAGATCACAATCTGCTGATGTCATAATGACTTCATTGTGAGGAGTCGGAGAGCTGACTAGGAGCTGCTGGTGGGCAGGGCGTTGCATTCATCTGGGTGCCCCTACAAGCTCACACAAGATATCTGGCACAAGGTACTAGATAAACATGTACTGAAGAAAGAAGACGATACGCAAAAGATCAGAGCCACAGCAAAAGCCCAACTCTCCTAGAGGCAGCGACCAAAGCAAGAGATGGGTACACCATTAAACGGCAAGGAGATACGGCCCATAAGCCCTCCTACCTTCAACGACTCGGTAATCTCAGAAGCTAAAACTTTACAACTCAAGAGGTGAGAAATGGACATTTGGTCTGGATTCTAACATCCGAAAATGGAAAAGTTATAAGAGGCAGTGAGAAGTCTAGAAAATAGGTCATCTCAAAATGGCTGAAGGACCTGGTAATGTTAAATCTTGGAAGAAAAATCTAAAAGAAGACATGATTACTGTTTGCTTTATGGTTCATTCATTCCTTCATTCATGCCTCATCTCCTTCAAGTGTTGGCTCAAATGTTACTTTCTATTTCTACCTTGACCACCCCTCATTAAAACTGTATCCACCCTTACTCCTGCCCCCAGAACTCCTGATATGTCTTACCCTGCTTTTATAATGTTGTTGTTGTTGCTGTTTGCCGTCGAGTCGGCCCCGACTCATAGCAACCCCTCCTTGGGTTTCCGAGGCAGTATCACTATGGAAGTAGGATTGCCCAACCTTCCTTCCGAGGAGTGGCTGGTGGGTTTGAACCGCCAGCCTTCTGGTGAGCAGTCAAGTGCCTTAGGCACTATGCTACCAGAGCTCCTGCTTTTATAATATTTATCATTTTTTATACTGATGAAAGTCAAAGACTTATATTGATAAAGATCAAAGAGTACAACCTTCAGTATCAATTATACCTCAGCATAACGAAAACAAAACAAAAAGAAACAATAAGCATCATGATAAACAGAAAATATTGAAGATGTCAAGGATTTTATTTTACTTGGATTTATAACAACACCCATGGAATCTGCAGTCAAGAAATCAAACTTACTGATTGGGCAAATCTGCTGCAAACTACTTCTTTAAAGTTTTAAGAAGCAAAGATGTCACTTTGAGGACTAAGGTACACCTGACCCAAGCCATGGTATTTTCAGTCACCTCATATGCATGTGAAAACTGGACAATAAATAAGGAAGACCAAAGGAGAATTGATGCCTTTGAATTGTGTTGATGAAGAATATTAAATATACCACAAACTGCCAGAAGAATGAACAAATCTGTCTTGGAAGAAGTACAGCCAGAATACGCCTTAAACGTGAGGATGGGAAGACTTCATCTCATGTATCTTGGACATGTTATTAGGAAAAGGTTATCATGCTCGTAAAGTAGAGTGTCAGCAGAGAAAAGGAAGCCCCTCAACAAGGCGGACTGGCACAGTGGCTGTACCATGGGCTCAAACACAGCACTCACTACGGTGCCAGTGCAGGACCGGGCAGTGCTTCCTTCTGTTGGAAACAGGGTCACTGTGAGTCAGCACCACTCAACAGCACTGAAAACAACAGCGTTTTTTAATATACGATATTTTCTTATTTATTATGTTTATAGTCTTTTCTCTCCACAGAACCAGAAGCAAGGGCAGGGGTTTTTGTGTTTTATTCACCACTGTGTCCCAGCACCTGGAACAAAGCCTAGCACTAGGAGTGAGTGCTCATTTGTTGACCATCTGAATGAGAGAATACCTACAAGGTCAGTAAGTAAGCCATGATCGTTGCCCTGGGGAAAATCAGGTCTTATGGGAGAAAACAACTTATAAAATTATAAGCACAGTAAATACTGTCATTCTTGGCTGTGAACAAAGTCCTATGATAACTCAGGACACCAGCAACCAGCTCTACCTGAGAGAGCTAAGGGTGCAGCCTGGATGTGACTCTTGACTGGACTTAAAGAACCTGGGGGTAGAAGCTGAGGAGTTAGAGACGTGAGAGAGGATATTCTGGGCAAAGGCTCCAAGTCATGACAAAACTCAGTGGGTCTGAAACAGTAATACTCTTAGGACAGCAGGACCCTAGAGGGCATGAGGGGGGATAAGTGAAAGAACAGGATGAAGCATGGTTACGAAATGCACTGTATGCCAAGCTCAAAGTCCATATTGTACCCTGTAGATAATGGGAAAGCAACTGGTGCCGGGGGGTGGGAGGAGGAATAGGTGAAATGACTAGCTTTATTTGCTAAGGAAGACTATTTTAGCTGCAGTGTGAAGAATGTACTAGAATGAGGAAGGACTAGAGGCAGGAAGGTCGACTAAGAGACTATTACAAGGGTCCAAGTGAGATGATGGGGGGCTGAACTAAGACAGCAGCCTGGAGTGAGGAAGACTTCCAGGAAAAGAGGAAAGGCTCAAGAGCCCAGTGGAAACTGGTTACCTAGGGAGCGGGGGATGCCAAGAGAATATCTTACACGGGAGATGCCAAGAAAGTAACCTGAATCAGCCACAGAAGCCTTCATATATTCACACACTGCCACAGAGCCTTAAGATTTAAATTTGTTTATGATCAAACCCACTGGATGAACTAGACTAAGAGGGAGCACTGTAGTCCCAGGTCAAGGCCCCAAGTCTTATACTATGTGATCAAAATAGGGATCAATGAGCAGACAATCAAGCATCTGCCCAACACAGTTAATAACTGCGTAAGAAACGGAGAAGCCCCCAACACAGAGTCTCTGTTTTCATTTTGTCAGCAACTAAATTCCAACTAATTTATTTACAGCCAGTGTCTAAAAGATTGGCCACCAGTTGCCAAAATTCCCCACTTTAAATTTCATTAAAATTCTACCTTCTTTCTGCAGAAACACTGATTTGCTGAGCAACTTCCCAATGCCACCTAAAATCTCACTACTGTAACATTTCTATCTGTACTCCTTCAGTTCCTTGAGGCAAATAAATTACAATTTCTAATATTCATCAAGCTAGGACCCTAATCTGAGGATTAGTGGCCCATGATAACCTCAGCCTACATGACCTTGAGACCAGCAGAACTAGATGGTGCCCAGCTATCCCTGAAAACCACTCAGAAAGGGATCAAAATATGAGATCTTGGATGAAGTGGGAGAAAAATGTGGAACAAAAACTCAAAATTATAAAAAAGACCAGGCTTACTGGTCTGATAGACTGGTGAAACCCCCAAGACTATGGCCCCTGGTGACCCTTCAGGCCTAGAACTGAACTCACTCCTGTGGCTTCCAGCAAAACAAAAGACAGGTATATAAGGTGAACATTTACATCAGGTAGGTAAACTCCTTAGAAGAATCAACCATGGGAGACCTACAGGGCAGTATTTGCACAGGGAGATACATCAGAGGGCAGGAATGCACAGGAAAGAAGGACACAGGGAAAAGGTAGCCGGAGAAGAGGAGTGGGAAGAGAACTGTCGCATTGCATATGTATATGAACTGCTGTATGGAAAATGAGTTTGCTTTGTAAACAACTTTCACCCAAATCACAATAAATAAAACACGGAACCCTGATTAAGTTATTTACTTGGCTGAACATTGACCTGAGTTCCAAGTACCTTCACCCAGAGGCTCCCTGCTTCCTGATACATATAAGAACGTGCACATGTACAACCTTTATTTTATCCTGCCATTCTGCTTATCAGGGCATCTGGGTAACATGATATACAAAAGAAAGAAAGTGCTTCAAACAGTCTGTGAGAAGTAAGTCAGATGACTCCAAGATGTCAAGACCCCTCAATTCACGAAGCACAGGTAGCACTATTACATTGGCCCAGAAGAGCGTAAAGAACAGGTGGGTTATGTTGCATAAGACCGACTAGACTATTGCAAAAATCCTGGGTCTTCACCTTCCCACCTATCCAGACAAGTTTATCTTCTGCAAACAATTCTTATTGGGTAATCCCTCTGCTCAAATTTGCAGGTGGCTTGCACTGTCCTGGCTGCTAAAATGTCAGCCTCCCTGATTTATCCAACATGCTCCTCCGACCAAGTGAGGCAGCTCTCTTCACAACCTAGATCTGCTTACCTCCTACCTCTGTTCTTTGACTCCTGTTTCTCAAAAGAAACACCCCTCCTTTCTCTCTCCTCCACACCCTGTGGTTCTCAATCCTGGTAGTACTTTAGAATCACCTAGGCAGCTTTCCAAAATATATTCAGGCTGAAGGCCACATCCTGTAAGGGTTTTATTTAACTGGTCTGGAATGGGGTCCAAGCATTAGCCGGTTTTAAAAAGCCCCTCAGGTGATTCTAATGCGCAGCCAGAGTTGCACACCTGTGGCCTGGCTCCATTCACCAGTTTTCCAAGGTTTAGCTCAAGTCCCAGCCCTGGCTCTCACTGGTCTCCCTCTCCTCTGAATTCCTATGACACTGAGAATCTGTTCCATAGGACTTCCTGCCCCACACAACCTAGCTTGCTGTGTCTGCTTCCAAACATGTCATTCTTCCATGTGTCTCTAGTTACAAATAGAATACATTCCAAGAAGCTCTTAAAAGAGAGACAGTAAGATCAAACTTAGAAAAATTAAAGAGTATTAGAACAGGCAGGGACTTCAGATAGCATCTGAACTAGAGGATCTTAAACATTTGGGGGCTACAGACAACTTTTGAAAATCCATGAACTTTCTCCCCAAAAATAAGCACATACAGAATTCTGCATATAATTTCAGGAGGTTCAGAGACTCCTTAAATGATGCAAGCACTCCTTATGGGACCATGAACCACAAACTAGAATTTTTCCAACATGCAGATTTAGGGGTCAAGGAGCTCTGGTGGTGCGGTGGTTAAAGCATCTGGCTGCTAACCAAAAGGTCGGTGGTTTGAATCCACCAGCTGCTCCGTGGGAAGAAAGATGAGGCAATCTGCTTCCATAAAGATTACAGCCTTGCAAACCTAATGGGGGTCACTATGAGCTGGAATCAACTTGATGAGAGTGAGTGAGACATAAGGGTCAGGGATAAACACCTTGCCTATGGCCAAAGGCAGTGGCAGAGCTGAACCCACAACCCTGGTCTCTTGCTCATTCCAGTTAACTCCCTTTGCCTGGCATCTCCAGTGACTGCTTCAAACCCAGCAGCAGGTCTGATGATCCACTGTGCAACGCTGGATAATCGATCGAAGAAGCCACGCTTTGCACATGGCCACATCATTTGCTCTATCAAGTTCTTGAATTCACATGACTTAAACCCTTATTCACTGACAGTTCTACAGGCATAATTAATGCCTAATACTTTGAAACAAATTGAATCGTCTCCCTCTTACTACTTTCAGTTTCTAAAGAGAAAATCTATCCTCACCCAGAACTCACCCGCTTCTCCTTGAGAGCAGGGCTGTCCTCTCCAAGGGCAAGGCGGGAAGCACAGGTCCGGAAGTCTGCCAGGCCCAGGATGGGCAGATACTCGTGGTTTAGGCTGCTGTCGTTAGCAATCTTCTGCTGGACCTTCCTCACTACTGGCAGAACCCACGGCTGACAATCATCAGTGCGATACGCTGAAACGTGGAAGAGAGTTTTATAATGGAGTCATCAAAGCCTCTGTCCAAGTAACAGTCTGCAACTAGGAACAGGGACAATTTCATCATCTTCCAAGCAGAACAGTGAAAGAAACCATAATAAAGTTCGTTCACTTACTGAATGCCTACTTTGGGTCAGGCATTGAGCTCAGTGCTGAGCAAGCAGGCACAGATATGGTTCCTATCCTTATGGAACTTATAGCTCTTCTTTGGTGAGTAGTGACTAGGGTTATAAGCAGCCACCTAAGTATGACTAGTGGTGTCTCCCCATCCAAAGCAAAGAAGAGTGAAGAAAACCAAAGATGCATGGAAACAATTAGTCCAAAGGACTAATGTACCATGCAAACTTTAGCCTCTATGACCCTTAGATTATAAGAAATAGATGATGCCCACCTACCACGACCAACTGCTCTGAAAGGGATAGCAATAAAAGGTCCTGAACATAGTGGAAGAAAGATGGGGAACAAAACTCAAAACCAGGAAAAAAAAAAAAAAAAGACCAGGCTCACTGGTCAGATAGAGACTGGTGGAACCCAAGACTATGGCCCTTAGTCACTCTTCAAGCCTGAAACTCGACTCACTCCCGTGGCTCAGCGTTCAGCCAAACAACAGACAACCCTGTAAGGTGAACAGTAACACCAGGGAGGTATGCACTTCTTAGAACAATCAACCATTCGAGACCAAAAGGGAAGCACATGCCCAGAGACAAAGTCCAGAAGGCAGGAAAGGACAGAAAGAAGGATAAACAGAAAAGGAAAACCGGGAGAAAGCAGGAGGAGGGCTATTACACTGCAGGGACTGCAATCGATGGTATGAAATAAAATGTGTATGAACTGTTGAATAGCAAGCTGATTTACTCTGTAAGCTTTCACCTAAATCACAATAAATTTGGAGGAAAAAAAAAAAAAAGAAGCAAAGCTTATAAGCTCTTAAATTTAAGTGACCACCAAAAAAAAAACACCTGGGCCATCACAGAGCCTGGCTGATGGCAAGAAGGCCTGGGAAAGCACTTTGCAGTGTCACTATATACTAGCACACTCAGGTCTCTCTAGTTTTTGAGCCAGCAATTTTCTTCCTTCTGCACCCCCAGCCAGTTTCCCTGACAGCCACCTCCCCCCAAATCGCCTTTCAAATTTCTCAATGAAACCAGTGCTCACACACTCATACCAAAGAAATCCATTCCTTTGGGAAAAGTGCAGATAGCAAGTATCTGTAAAGGTCCACATCTCAACGTAGCAAGTGGCAGTACAAAAGTTCGCCTTTCGCTTTCCTATGACTGAGTAGTTCAGATTCCATCTGATACAGTCACTCAAAGCTTAATCAACAGGAAAATCTGTGTAAACTGCCTCCTTCCACCACCCCTCATCCAAACTATTAAATCAAGATAGTTTAGGCTGCAAGTTCTTAGGACACAGGCTTCTTGGCTTGAATTCAGGATTCAGGTATAGTGAGAGGACTATGAAGTGTTTATGTGGAAAGGATCAGGCTCCCACACAGTTCCCTCCAGGGGCTCTCTCATCCTGAACTGAATCAGAGCTGCACTCCTCAGCTCCACCAGCAGTGAGACCTCCCTGCAACCTTGAGCTCAGAATGCATCCTCCTTGGAAACAACCCTGTGACCATTTGCAGAAGGCTGAAGCAGAAGGCTGAAGCAGAAGGCTGAAGCAGAAGGCTGAAGGGGCCCCTTGCTTAAGATTACAGAACTTTAACAAACAAGCAGGCATGATTAAAGTAGACATTAATCATCCTGACTAACTTGCTATTTTCCCTTTTGCTTTCTTTTAAATGAATAGAACAGCGAACCTTTTCATGGACGCTGATTTCTTTAGGTTTGTTATTTTCAATTATACCTTCTTCTAAGTGTGACCCTCTCCCACGACGGGTTTCATCCGAGGACAGTAGTCTATGAAGCAAGACAACCCCGGGAAGAGGGACACCAAGTCCAAAGTAACCATGGAAAAGAAGAACAGAGACATTCCTGGCAGTCCAAGAGACCTTCAACCCTCTTCGCATCTCCCTATACAATCACATTTACCCCCTTGCTCAGGGAGACAGACTTTTTAGAGAAACGATTCTGTCTGTCTCCTTGAGTATCAATACTCAGTATTCCACTTCAACCTGTTGTGGTTATTGGCTCTACTCCCAACAGGTGGTAAAAACCTTGTTCTTGCATCACATTCATCTCCCCAAGAGACTTCCAGAAAATGGCTAGGTGCTATTTCAGGTGAACTCTGCACCTTCAAACAAAACAGGGAGGGGCAGAGGGAGGAAGGTGGCCCACCTCCTCCTCTCAGCCTATAGGAGCAGTAATGACACTGATAATGAGCGAACACCTTGTGACTGAAAATTCTGACAGCTGGTTACACAATCATCCATCCAAGGACCCACTTCCACACCTTGCCCTCTGTATTTTGACCAATCAGCTGGTGTTACTGTTTTGACTGTTCATCCCACCTAATCTCATCACAATTTTTAGTTAATCTATTTCACAAAATTTAACTTTGCTTAAGCAAATTCCTATGCATTTCTTCTATACTAAAGGTATTTTTAGTCCCCTTTGAGTTATCCTATAACTGACTTTCCTTTTCCCCTAGACTACTAGCTAAAAGGTTAGTGGTTCAAAGCCACTCAAAGGTGCCTCAGAAGCAGGGCTTAAAACTGGTTCTTCTCAGTCAGTCGTGACCAATGACGTGAAACAGGAATGCGCCAGAATTTGCAAAATTAGGGTGCCTGGAACATTAACAAGAACAGGAAAAATGAGTTGCTGCCCTGATAGAAACTTAATCTCACCCTTAGAAGACAGCATGTGCATTGCATAGCAACCAATTCTCTTGCCTGGCAGAGTCAGAAACAACAGTGCCCTGCTCAAACATGGTGACTGATTACCCCACCGTGAATGTATGTCACTCTCCATAGTCCTGGCAATAATCCAGTCTCCCATGTCAGGCTCCTGAAAGGGCTTACTATGCCTTTTCTGAGTAGCCCATTCCAGGGCTTTGATCCATAATTTTTCCCATTCCAACTATCATTCTGGCACCCACATTTTGCAAATTCCAGTCTGTCCTGATTTCACTTTGTCAGCCATGACTGAACTGGTTCGAAGCCGTGCTGAGAAGAGAGGCCTGGTGATCTGCTTCCAAAAGGTCACGGCCTTGAAAACTCCAGGAGCAGTCCTACTCTGCACACATGGGGCCGCCATAAGCCATAACTGACAACTTACAACAACATACTGCTCTATGGCTATGCTGGGATATAGCTTTAGAGGGCAGTTCCTTTGCCCCTGCATCTAAGCTGATAATCCCTCTGTGGAGAATTCCTGATGGGATCATTTGCCACCTCTTAAATATTTAGATCTCCAACAATCCTACACTTATACAAGTGGTTTTTAAATGAAAACAAAACTTTACAATATTTCTGATTAAGTTTTATCTGATGGACTCAGCTCAACATTAATCCTTGACTTTTTTAATCACCTTTCAAGGTGGTTGCTATTGTTAACTGAGCAAATTCGCTGACTGCAGAAAATTTAGCAAAGCCTAGAAAGTAAATATAAAGAGTATAATTAACAGCACTCAAAGAAGTATGAAAGTATTGTATGTTAAGTAAGAAGTATGAAAATGTTGGTGTACAACCTTCTGAGCTTTATTTTATATGAGTATATTTTTTAAGAAAACATGGGACCATAGTGTATATAGAATTTTCAAGGTGCTTTTTTTGCACTTCAATATGTATTATGCCTGTCCTTCACCATCAGTGACTAGTCTTCGAACAGGTAATACATTCACATCTCTACCTCATTCTTATCTCCCATCTACCTACTTCCCAAATCCTCTCTCTCCATAAATAACAATTATTCTTAGTTTATTTATCCTGCTAGAATTTTGCTCTGCACACACAACCAATACAGTTTATTTCCCCTCTTTTTACACAAAAGGTAGCACAAAGCCACTACTGTTGAGTCAGATCTGACTCACAGCGACTCCTCCTTGCATTTCCGAGGCAGTAATTCTATGGAAGTAGATTGCCCAGTCTTCCTTATGAGGAGTGGCTGGTGGGTTTGAACTACCAGCCTTCTAGTTAGTAGTCAAATGCCTTAGGCACTATGCCACCAGAGCTCATATATACAGAATATACTATAGCCTGCCAGAAAAACAAACACATCTTTCTTGGAAGAAGTACAGCCAGAATGCTCCTTAGAAGCAAGAATGGAAAGACTCTGTCTCACATACTTTGAACATGTTATCAGGAGGAACCCGTCCCTGGAGTAGGACATCATGCTTGGGAGTAGAAGGTCAGAGAAAAAGAGAAAGACCCTTGATGAGATGGATTGACACCATGGCTGCAATGATGGGCTCAAACACAGCAACAATTGTGAGGACAGTCAGCGTTTCCTCCTGTTGTACACAGGTTCACTATGGGTCAGAATTGGCTTGATGGCACCTAACAACAGCAGCATACTATACACTGCTTTGTTCCTTGCTTTTTCCACTTAACTTGAAGATCTTTTTATAACTGTGCATAGAGCACCCTTGGTCATTTTCACAGCTGCATAACTGATGAATGTGCCATCATTTATTTGGCCAGTCTCTTGTTGATGGACATTTGAGTTGCTTCCAATTTCTGACTACTACAAAACAATACTTTATTGAACAACCTTGTATATATGTCATCTAACATGTATGCAAATATATCTATAAAAAGCAGGGTTGAAAATGGAAAGAGTGGGTTGTGGGCTATCGTAGTTTTGACAGATATCTCCAAATTGTCCTCCATAGGAATTAATACCAATTTACATTCCCATCAACAATGTGTAAGAGTGCCTACTTCCCAACAGCCTCACCACTGCATGAATTTTTTGTCAATATGAGCATGAAATGGTATCTCAAGACAATTTTCATTTGCTTGTCTCTTATTATGAATGCAATTGGGCATTTTTCATATATATCAGTCATTTATAACATCATTCTGTGGCTAGATAACATTCCTTTCTATGCATTTATTAACCATTTATGTTGTTTTCATTATTTGCTATTATCAACACTAATGAACATTCATTTATCTTTGCACACATGCATGATTTGTTTTTTAGGAAAAACTTCTCGATGTAAAATTTAGGTCAAAGGGTATACAAAACAAATAAGACTTCATAAGATCATTTTCAATTTTATATCTGTCCTCTATTCTATCAGCTAACCTTACCTCTACACCCCTCCCAGGAATGTGTCATCTGCAAATCATGTCAAGTTAGTAAGAAAAATGTACATACAATTCCAGACTGACAAAACCACTAACCAACCTACAGTCTCTGGGCAGGTGAATTTAACAATATTGTCATACCACCCACACTATACTGCTTACCCTCCAAACTAATACCCTGTCAACAAGTTCAAAAAGCCAGCTTTACCAGATGGGATTTCATCTGGTGTCTTTAAAGAGACACCAAAATAACCACTCCCAAGCAAGAGTTGTCCCTGAAACGAATCACCCTATCTATGATCACAATGCCACCACTGTTCACAATATCCTTGGAACTATTCTTTCAAAATTGTTTTCAGAGGTCACATCTCATTATTTTAAATATGCTCAATGGTGCCAAAATGTTATCCTTTGAAAGTAAATTTAACTTTTGGAAATGAAAACAAGGCTGTGTGGAAAGGGAGCTGCTACTGCCCACACTCCTTCTGCTCCTTTTTGATCATGGCCTTTCCACCACCTCTACTGATTTCCTATCACATCTCTACCCACACAGAGGCCTTTCCACCATCTCTGATTCCTATCATATCTCTACCTCACAGATGTGAGGAATCTTCCCAAATGCCCCCAGGCAGCATTAATGGATCTCAGAAGCACCTTAGATTTCTATTATAGTACTTGCACTTAAGATTTTCATTACAGCTGGAATTGGAGATACCATTTGACCCAGCAACCCCATTACTAGGTATATATCCTAGAGAGGTGAGAGCCAGGATAGGAACAGATACATGCACACTCATGTTCATTACAGCACTATTACAATAGCAAAAAGATGGAAACAACCTATGCGCCCCATCAATGGAAGAGTGAATGACCAAACTATGGTACATACACATACTGGAATGCTATGCAGCACTAAAGAATAATGTAGAGTCTGCAAAACACCGCATAACATGGATGAACTTGGAGGACATTATGCTGAGTGAAATAAGTCAATCACAGAAGGACAAATATAGTATTAGTTTGTTGTTGTGGAGGGTCAAAGAAAGGTTTACATATGGAGGGAAACGTTCTTTGTTGGTTGCCAGGGTTGGGAAGGGAACACTGCAGGGGGTGGGGGGGAAATGCATTGACCCATGTCACTTTAGTTTTGTATATTTCACTGTACGTGGATTATATTTCAATAAAATGCATTTAAAAAAAAAAGATTTCTATTACAGTACTTAACACCAGATTTTAAACTCCTTGAGGGCAACAATCAGTCCTCAGTCTTCCGTGTTTCTCTCTCTCTCTCTCTCTTTCACACACACACACACACACACACACATAGACACACAACTGGTTAGGTACTTGATTGATACCGGGTTGTCAACCCAAATACTTACTAACCTGGACCACAGCTCCCTAAGGTTAAGGTTATCCATTTCCCAGCAATTTGAAGCTCAAGCTTACTAGGCTTCTTATCGCCCCCCGCCACCATCACCACCCATCCAGTTCCTATCCCTGGCCGCTTCCATTCTTCAGGAGGCAAAAGAATGTAATACAAAGAACGCAGGATGGAGAACACAAGATGGATCAGAAAATGTGAGTCTGTGTCCTGGGTGCTACACCTGCCGTGTGACCTTAGGCACATCGCCCAGAGTCTCCCCAACTCCCATCTGTAAAATGGGCAGGTGGAACTAAGTCCTCGTGGATCCTCTAATTCCTGACTCCTCTCTGGGGTTCCCCCCCCCCCGCCCCAGGCAGCGCCAAGCTGGGCCTCAGCCTCTCCCACAGTCCCCAGCTCGCGTACTGAGCCCGTTCCACTACCTACACGGCTCACATTGCTGAACACTGCATCTTTACCTCCCACTCCTAGGTTGACCTTGCGGGGGTCCGGATCCTCCCGGAAGTCGGCCGTGAGCTTAAACACAAGGACCGGCTGGGCCTGCGGAACCTCGGCAAAGACGGACGGAGGCGCCATAGCGACAGGACCAGAATCTGCCGAGAGCTTTCCCTCAGCGCCTGGAGATGCTGCTCGGTCGGTCTAGCAGTGGCTGGTGGAGGAGACTCTCACCTTCACCTATCCTGCGGAGGCGGGTCCGCGGCTTCCAATGGTCGAGCCGCGTCCGGAGCTTGGCAACGCGGCTACCCAATAATGAGCTTTTGAGACATAAGGGACAAGGGCGGGGAGATAGTATTAGCCAATCCAAGAAGAGAATCTTATCGGAGGCCGGTAATGATGCAACCAATTCCATTTTTGCCGGCAGTAATAGGGGCAGAGACTAGGGTTGATTGGCAGACGCATGCGCCTATCGTTGAGACTATTATTCCTTGTGTCTGAGGTGCTGAGGGTAGCAGTTGGAGGAGACCAGCAGCGGCAGGGTGTTCCCGGGCAGCCACCTCCTCGACCTTCGAGGTCTTGGAGACGAGGGGGAGGTGGCCGGCGGGCATTCCTGAGGACCGGCCTTTCCTTGTCATCGGAGCAGGAGTCTTAGCTACGAGGCCTGGTAGTGCGCACTCTCCTGACCCGGCCTGACCCAGCTCAGACTGGCAGCCAAGCCCCCGCCATCTGCGCCCAGAGCGGGAGTCCTGGACCCGGCCAGGTGTTTGCCCCTGAGGAAATTGGGGTGGGCTGCCTGCCTTCGTCTCAGACGGAGGAGACCCTACTAAAAGTGAGGGAGTGGCCATCAGTTCCTTTCTGCCGCTCTTATAATTAGAGATTTTTGCTCCCCGTTCCTTTCAGGTTAAGGACCTGGTCCTCAAGGACCTTCAGGATCTGGGCGCAGTCTCCCTTTCTGGCCCACTCCCACTCACATACCCAAGCAGGTCTTGCTGTTGTCAGCTGGCTGGTACCCAAGGTGCTTCTTTTAGTCATGCTCTCGCTTCCCTGTAGTATTCTTCCCCCGCCCCCAACCCCTCTCGCCTCCCGATGACCTTCAGACCAGAATAGACGCCTCCTCCTCCATAACACATTCCCTTTCCTGTACTTCTGTAGCGTTTTGACTATAGTACAGTTCTAGAAAATGCTATGGTGGTTAAGAACCTAACTCTGAGATCAGAGCAATGAGTTTATGTTAATGATGGAGGAATGGTTCGGAAAAAGGAGGGTGAGAATGGTTGGACAACTTGAAGAATGAAATCAGTGTCACTGAATTGTGCATGTAGAAATTGTTGAGTTGGTGTATGTTTTGCAGTGTGTATTGTGAACAACAACAACAGCAACAAAGCCTGACTCTGGAGCCAGACTGCCAAAGTTTAAATTCTGCCCCTGCCACTTAAGAGATTAGGCGAGTTTGGGCACCTGATCTGTAAAGCGGAGATTTCTTGAGTTAAGGCATATAAAGTGTTCAGTGGCATATAGTCCAACCAAAAGAAACCAAACTCACTGCCATCTAGTTGATTCGGAGTCATAGCAACCTCCATTGGGTTTCCAAGGCTGTAAATCTTTATGGAAGTAGATTGCCCCATCTTCCTTTCTCAGAGCCGCTAGTGGGTTTGAGCCACCAGCCTTCTGGTTAGCAGGCAAATGCCTTAGGCACTGTGCCATCAGAGCTCCTTAGCATATAGTCCAAAAACCAAACTCACTGCAGTTGAGTCGGATCCGACTCATCATGACTCCTCCTTGGGTTTCCGAGGCAGTATCACTACAGAAGTAGATTGCCCATATAGTCAGCTCTCCCTAAATGTTAGCTAATTTCATGACACATCTGCCACACCTCTTATAGGTGGTAAGCTGCTTTTAACTAGGGACTGTACCATGTATGAGTGCCCCTCCGTTTCTTACACTTAGTAAGTACTCAGTAAATGGTGGAAGGAGTCAGTTCTCTTGGTGTTTCAGAAAAAAATACCTCAGCCTCTGTTCTTTGGATAATAGGACAAATTAAAAAAAAAAAAACTGAATTTTCCATTCAAAATATCAACTCAAAGCCAAAGGAACTTTGTGCAACACCTTGTCAACCTTTGTATCATCTACTTCTTGTCAGAAATGTCGCCTCTGATTTTAAAGGCAAGTTTGCCCACTGTGTTCCATTAACACTTTCCTCTAAAAATGACAAATTCAGCACTGAAGGTCAAATGACCATGAACTTTTGGTGCTTCCAAAGGCAGAGGCAAAGGGCAGCTGCTGAGGTGGGTGTTCTAAAGGCCAACCCACCTAGAGTTTAGTTTAAAATTATGATCTTCACAGAATTGGCAACCCGTATCATGGTCACTCCTTACGTCATTCCCTGGGGGAAAAACAACCCTAGGTTACCTAAACACTATCTACTTGACTAATTCCAAATAAATATTTATTGACTAGCTAAGCAGCTCTGTAACCGAGCCATTCCTGATAGGGGCAAAGAAAGTCCCATTCACAGTTTTTCTTCATGTCCTCCACGAAGATTTGAATTTTAGAAAAGGATAGTTACTGGGTAGGGAGTGGTAGGGACGGAAGCCTATCTACTATATAGGCTCAATTTCTCAAACTTTTTTCTCAAGAATGTGAGGTTTTTAACCTTCAGCCAAACAATGGATAGGCTTACAAGGTGAACAGTAATCCCAGGGAGGTGCACTCCTTAGAACAATCAACTGTAGATCAGAAGGGCAGCATTTGCGCAGGGAGAAAGTTCAGAAGGAAGGAATGCATAAGAAAGAAGGACACAGGGAAAAGGGAACCACGGGAAATGGGGAAGAGAGCTGTTACTTTGTGGAGATTATGATCAATGTCACAAAACAAAGTATGTGTGAACTGCTGTATGGAGAATGAATTTGCTCTGTAAGCTTTCACCCAAATCATAATTAAAAACTTTAAAATAAAATAACCATGCAAGTAGAGACTAAACAGGCCTCACATCTGGGAACTTCATGAAGGATAGGAGCCTGATGCAGTCATGTATTTTTGTTGATTGTATTAATCACAGCTATGCATTAAGGAGCTCTGGTAGTGTAGTGTCTAAGGCACTTGACTGCTAACCCAAAGGCTGGCGGTTCAAACCCACCAGCCACTCTTTAGAAGAAAGGTTGGGCAATCTACCACCTTGGAAACGCAAGGAGGGGTCGCTTTGAGTCACGTCTGACTCGACGGCACATAACAACAACAGCATGCATTAAGGCTCCAGTTATGCATATCCACTGAAGTCTCCATGACCGGGAACACAGGACCTTGGAATACTCTCTTTGGGGCCTCCTAGATCATCCATGCACAAAAGAGGGAGTGGCATGTGCCTGAGGACAATGGAAGCCTCCTGGTGCCAGGACCTCTCCCAGACCTTGCCCAGTGCATATGTATGCTTGTGTCCTTTCTGATTATAATAAAGGGGTAACTGTAAAAAAAAAAAAAAAAAGGTTTTTGGGGAATACTTTTAAGTCCAGTACTTATCTACCTTGAGGCCTGAAGGCTGCTCTTCTAAATAGTATGCCAATCTTAAAATAAACAAAATGCTTTTCAGGCCATTGCTAATTTTAACACTTTGACTTAGAATTGACTCAACACTGCCTCCCTGCTGAATGGCTAATTCCAGCAAAAGCCTCTTGAGAGGCAAACACTGCCCAGACAAGGAGGCAGCCAGGTAAAGTGAGTGTCCGGGGAACAGGCAGGAAGGGTCAGAAGAAAGAGTGGCTGGTATTCACCCAACTTCCTGACTTCATTTTATGACTCTGTTCAAGTGTCATCTTTTCCATTTCCCTTCTTTTTTTTTTTTCCTTGTTTCCAGAGGAACAGGGAAACCACATAGCAACAGTTTCATCTGGAATTAATTCCTTTAGGATATAACCAAAAGACCAAACCCACTGCCGTCAAGTCAGATCCGACTTACAGCAACCCCTCCTTGGGTTTCTAAGGCAGTATCACTATGGAAGTAGATTGCCCAACCTTCCTTCTGAGCAGTTTGAACCTTCAGGCTTCTGGTTAGCAGTCAGATGCCTTACTTAGGCACTACACCACTTGGAAATCTGAAGCCTGTGAGACTGCGCAGCACTGCCCCACAGTGTAAGAGGCAGGGTAGGCAAGGGCAGCAGTGAGCATTACACAAATCGCTAAGCAAATCCACACCTGTTTGTTTTACTTAATTTTGCCCCTGAATACCCAGGAGGTCTAAACTTAGGAATGAATCAGGGAAGGCAGGAGTTTATCACTTGGGACTTGGGATCTTTCTGTGTGGACATATGCTGTCACTGTTACTACAATTTAGAAGCTGAGTTGTTGCTGAATAAATGTTTCATTAAAAACTAAAGCTGTAAAAGGACATCTATTCAAGAGTCACAGTGTGGCTAATAGTGGACAATAAGCTAAGCCGGGAACACCTACCATGGAGTTGTTCTCCCACTGGGAGCGAGTGTACTCTTGCTGAGGAAGGTGATTGTTTATGCAACCTCTCTCTCCCATTCCTGGTGTGCCTTGATGGACCATCTCCCCTTGCTTCTCTCCCTTATTGCTCTCTTTCACTTCTTAAGTATGAGCCTTCCTCAGACTGGACCAAATGAATGTATCCTGTTTCAAAAAAGAACAAACACAATGAGGCCTGGACTGGACTGGTTCTAAAGTTAGTTCCTGAGCTGGACATCCCCATGTGCAAAATTTTTTTTGTAGCTGCTGAGACCTTTGGGTAACAGATAACAGCAGGACTGAGAACTACTAATGGTTTTATCTGTTTAGTGAATATAAGTTCCAGGGCACAGTTTAGAAGGTGTTGTGCTATGTAGTTTTTGTGCGTTACTTAAGAAGTGTAGCTTAATTGTTAAAAGCATGGCTTATGGATGCTTCAGTTTCCTCATTCATGGATAATTATAGTTCTACCTCATGGGTGGGAGCCCTGGCTAATGCAGTTAACATGTTCAACTGCCAACTGAAAGGTCGGAGGTTCAAGTCCACCCAGAGCTACCTTGGAAGAAAGGCCTAGAAACCTGCTTCTGAAAATCATCATTGAAAACCCTGTGTTGTGCATTCTACCTTGGTGAGTAGTGACTGGGGTCATCTAATGTGCAAAAATTGGTCTCTCCCATCTGGAGCAAAGAAGAGGGAAGAAAATCAGACATATGGAAATAATTAGTCCACAGGACTAGTGGACCATGCAGACCTCAGCCTCCACGACCCTGAGACCAGAAGAACTAGCTAGTGCCTGGCTACTACTGCTCCTCGCTCTGAAAGGGGTCACAACAGAAGGTCCTGGGGAGAGTGGGAGAGAAATGTGG